GCAGTCGTATGTACACCAATTAAATCTAAGAAAAATGTATATTACAACATGATGAAGCTTTGTTTTAATTAATTGCACAATTTACATAAATCGTAATGTTTTCTGACAAAGAAAAATGCAGTAGCATTTCTTTTAAATTATTGCATGCATGCTGCCCTACAAGTAACATATTATTAGTGTAATTATCAAAGAAATAAATAAAACAGGAAAGTGGTCAGTAAAGTTTAATTATTCATGGATTAAAAAACAGAAATAATGTTATTTTGCTATTAATTTGCCTGCAGGTATGTGTGTTTTGTTTGATTTAATACAAAGGTAAAAACATTAATAAATAAATACTATTCAGCTGTGTAATAAAATTTATCAGTTTTATACGTTTTTATTTGACAAAAATTTATATCCATGCAATATTTTATAATAAATAATATTTACAACTAAATCGAGTATTCATCCTGGGACAAGTGCCTCGAATTTCATAGTAAATTTCGACAACCACCCCCTCGAAGGGATGAGTATTATTTCACCCCGGCGAGGCGTGTAAGATGTTACATATTCATTTGCAATAAAGTTAAATTTAACAACCGGGCCGGGATATAAACCGAGATGTAGGTTCATGTGAGGATATGATATTGCCTTCGCAGACAGTGTTTATTGTAGTTATGAATGTATATTATATTATATTTTGTAGGGTTACTTATTATTGTCTACGAAGATGGTATCATCTTGGTATAAAAATAAAATTTTGCGGGTAAAAGATAATTTTCGGTCTGGAAATCTGAGTACACTTTCGTGGATTCGTTACACTTTATACAATAACCAGATAGTCACAGCAAATGGTCAAATCAAATATCAATATTTTAGACTATATATAAAAGACAGCAATCGGTACAAGATCTTGTTTTTGTTAGTAGTTTTTTACTTAGTTTTTGTCAAAAGTAGGTCCTGCCGATTAGGAGATACATAGCAAAAAGGTGCTAAAAATAGCAGGCTTTGAACGTCGCAACCGATTAGAATGATTCGCATTGACAGTTAGGAAGGCGTGCTGATTAGTCTTTGAAAAAGGCAGGACCAACCGTTTTGCAAAAATGTTACAATTGCAAAAACAAATCATACTAATTGATATTAACTGGAAGTTGTAAGGTATGATTTAAAAGTTTATACACAACTTTTAAAGAAAAAGACAAAATAGTAGCAATTGCTAAGCATTATCCATCTTATGAATTTAGTATTAGATATGTACTTTCCTCCTATGAAAATATGAGGTCACACACAAGGGAGTATGTTTTCTTATGCGTAAAGAGCTGAAATATCCGTAAGTTCGAAAGGGATTTCTCATTTCTTCCCACTGGAATGAGAATAAATATCAGAACCTTCAGCTTCGCCCTCCGATAAGCTCGGAATGGAATGACTTTGATGGTTTGCAAAACCGTAAACACAATGCCAGGAGAGGAAAACGTCGGAATGTAAAGCGGTGTGGTCGGAAGGATTCTGGATTCGTTCGACAATTGTACAGGACAAACTTTGGATGGAAGGAGATTTGCGAATTATCGACGGGAATTACTTAAGTTGTTTGATCTAGAAATTCAATTGTAGATTGTATACATATATATCGTAAAAAATGTAAATATTTTTTATAAGTATGTATAGGGTATAGGGAGGGAGGCTTAAAGGTCCGCAGGTAGAAAGATCCACCACCGATATCTCAAAAACATTAAAGTCAAAAAAAATTTAACAACAATATTTAAAAGTTGAAAGAAAAAGATGTATAACCAGCCATCACCTTGATCCTAACAACGTTTCTCATGTATTTTTTGCAAAAAGTATTTTCTTTCGTTGTTAGTTTTTTTGATTGTGAGCACTGTTGTTTGATTTAGGAGAGCTTATTTTAATTTTCAAGTTTACGTTATTTCATTATTATGAAATGTTATTAATTTTAACTTAGTTTCAACAGTTATTTTATATAATCTCTATAAAAGCTTGTGCTTAGGTGGGTTAAAAAGCATCAACTTAAAATGTAACCTGGTAAAGGTGTGAAAATTTTTAAAAAATATTAAAAAGCAAATAAAGTGAAAAGCACTATTGTACAAAATATAAATCAAATAAATAGTTATTCCAACTCTGACAAAATACCAGATCAAGGTTATATACTGTGTTATCTCTGTAAAAATATATCCTTTAAATTGTATTTTGCATTGAATATTGTATATATTATTCTTCTGAAATTAAAAAAAGGACATTGGCACTGTTTGCCCCCTAGCCGTTCCATTTTATCCTACCTATGGTCTAAAAAGGGGCAGGTGACAATTTTTTTTAAAATAGCTAACAACAATTAGCTGGAAGTTTTACTGACCATATAAGATATGTATTATTTGTTGTGATATAATTGATTAGGTTTTCACAATATAATTGCTCAAAGTCAAATTGGACCTTTGTACCCCGCCATACTATATTGTATATTTTTCTAGCAAAATTATTTTCAGTAATTTTACAAAATTTTAGAAGATTTTTTTATTAGGTGATTAATGAGCAAAATATTCCACATCAGTCAAATAAAAGTAAAAGAAATCAATAAATTAAATTAGTGTTGTTAAATATTTAATACAAATTCTATTAATTTCCAGTAATAATGTAAATATTTTCAGAATATTTTACAATTTTTCTCCAAAAAAAATTCACTGTAATATTGTTAATAAGATTGTTATAAAAATTAAAATTGAATAGCCTAATGTACCAGATGCAGTCAAAAAGTAAGTCAGAATATCGTAAGATTATTTAAATGATTTTAATAATAATAATTATTTAAATACAATTTAATTAAAATAACTTTTTATGATTATTATAAATTTAACTATTTTAAAATATACGTTTTTTATTTATATTTTTATTTCCAAAAGTTTAGAGCCAGTGAAAAATCGTATTGCTTGTGCAATGTAGGTACATTTTCATTTTGATGGTACCGACGAAATGATTCGCGAATAAATAAGATTTTTCTTCGTGCAGACTCTGTTGTTCTTTCTTATTTTTGCTTTCTTTACACATATGAATATTTCAGATGCGATCTGCTTGCTGACTGGCTTTTATTATAATTTGGTTTGAAAAAAGTATCATCGTCGTATGCATATGAAATGAAAATGTACGGTTCATTGCAGAACTTAGAAAAAATAAAATTTACAACTGCTATAAAATTTTGAAAGATGTACTCCTTATTTTTGTCCAAGAAATGGCCATTGCCATGATCATGAGGTAAAAATAATATATATAAAAGTCTTATAATAAAAGGTCTATATATATCTATAAAAAAATAAAAGGTTCATATTAAAATATAATTTATTTTTCCAAATGCGGTTCTGCATTATATTCTTCTTATAAATTAGTAACACTGAAGCACATTCGTAAGCGCAAGAAATAATAACTGCTGATAACCCTTTAGATAACTCATTAGAAAATAATTGCAGTTAGCCCACTTCACGTTTTATAAATCTCAAATTAAGAAAATCTCGCTCAATTATCGACTATGTTTTCGCTCGAAATCATTTCAAGGACCATTAAGAAATTAAAACTCAATTATTCGGAATCAAAACGCTATAAATATCGTAAAAATAATAAAAAAATATTTATTAATTTCTTGGTAATCTCCTCCAGCATCAACCGAATAACAACGGATGATAGAAACGTTTTATATCGAATACGCATATTTTATGTATAAAAAGTAAAAAAGTCGTTAAATTAAAAGCGAAAATCTTGGGTAAAAAGGATGGAAATAAAATACTATAACCTGTAATATTACTAAATAATAACCGTTATTAAAATGTATCCCGTACCGCGGCTAAGCCAAATTAATTAAATGTCCAGCCCACGACGCGCCAATTAGAGTTTCTCGAAAACAACATATTGCAAATTAAAATCCTATTCATAAAAATAAATATATAAATAAATAGAAATCATAAAAATCATAAGGTAATAATTATTGCTAATATAGGAAAAGATAGGATCAATATCGATATAAGGAAAAAAGAGAACATCCGACGAAATATTTTTCTACTTCTAAAAATAAGACATACCTAAAACATGCAAAAGAGGCCTTATTTAGATTATTTTTTATTGAAAATAATAAATTTTTTCTGCAGATTTACTCATTATAAACATAATTTCCAAACATATATTTTATGCATTCCAAATATGTATGCGACAATAAACATTTTCAAAAATATTTAATTAGCTCCTTGTTGAATGGGGGACATACTGATTAGATTTTGGCAAAGGCAGCTTTTCCGAAGATACGAGAAAAAAAGTAAAGAATGGATCAAAAAACATTTCCTTAGTATTGTCAGAATAAAAAATTGATTAAATTTTTGGTAAGATCCAGTGGTTTCGTAGATCCAATAAAAAAAGTTGAAAAAAGCCATTTGGCGGCAAAACTGATTATTAGACATATGCGATTCAAATAATCAGATTTTTATAGAGATTTTGATAAAAGTATAATATTTGTTCTTATTTTTATAGATTCCGTGCCATGATTTATAGTGTTTAAAGTTTATTTTTATAGTTCAAACAAATGTCATCGACATTTTCTACGGTATGGGTCAACCGACTTTCAAAAACCGAAATTTTCCAAAAATGTAAAATTTTTCAAAAAAGTCGTGTTTTCCAATATAAAAGTCTTAAAGTTCTTGAAAATTTTAAAATGTAGTACGGGAAGTTTCAGAAATTTGCTTCAAAGCACAATGTCATACACCACTAATTTATAACACTTCGTACGTTTTATCAAGCCTTAATATCAATAATTGAAATATCAAATTCAATTCAAATTATCAAATAAATACATAGTAAATATTTTATATTGATTAAGTATATATTTTAAGTATATATTTTAAAAATTTCGTTTAGAGTGCCCCAATCGCTTCCTAATGTATGACTGATCCCCACTAACTTTGTGAGACCGATCCATATATACTACATATGTATGTCAGCGTATTTATCATTTACAATTATTCACTTACCGCTATAGTTCTGCCAAAACGCAGCTCCGCTTGTGACTAGATCGAGACCCGCATATCCTTGCCAAGGTCCTGGGTTCTGCGGCTTTCCGTCGCCATGAGGTAGACCTGGCGCAGGAGATTGTCCACTGTTGTTCTGCGGCGCCGAGCTCACGGGAACTGAACCTGGTTGCGAGCCGCAGTCTCGGGCCTGGGGAACGCTTGCGGCGCCGCCACCGCTGCTCGCATACGGACTCTCGGGCCGGGAGTCGGGGCCGGCGGTCGCTGAGCCTGATCCGGCATCTGAAATAGAAAGGACACATGGTAAAATATAATGGTAAACATGATTTTTTTATTTGAAATATTTGTGTGAAATAAAACAAAATATTTTGTCATTGGGGAATAAAAATCAAATATTAGAGGCTTCATGTGATTTCAAGGAATTGACCTATATGGTGAAGGTTTTTTGCTGCTTTGTTTAATGTATATAGTTAATTGTAATATTTGCATTATTGTTATAATTTTATTTTCTACAATATGTAAATGTACTGAAAAATGTTTGAAGAAAATGTAACATTCAAATCTAGTGTTTGTCGGTTTTCAAAAACCGGTTTTTTGGCGAAAATTATGGAATTCGAAAACCGGTTTTTTAGTGAAAAAAGTCGGTTTTCACTGTATAAATGGAAAAGGACAAATATAGCCAAATATAAAAGATAGATGAAAGCTTTTTGATTCTTGAAATCATATCGTTCCAACAGCATTTGATATCTTATCAATCTGCAATTTAGGGTCAGAAAGATTTTGTATATAATAATTTAGATTTTTATACCAGTATATATTAATTTAAATCAGTGTGACTTCTTCTTGAAGAAGTAACTTCCTCTACTCAAGCTTAAAAAAAAAGAGTTTTAAACCCTAGAAGCCACAAATTAAAAAACAAAAAACTTAGAATTATTATATCAGGCTTTAAAAACAATATTATTTAGAAACGATATGAAGTATGAGAGTATTTTCTGTTTCAAGAAATTTTGTGAGTAAACAAAGGACACGCTTAAATAGCAATTCAATAGACGTTCTGATTTTTTTAAATCATATTTTATTAAACAAAAAACAATTAGAATTTTTAAAATTAATTAATCAAAATTGTTCGGAACAGGAATAAAAGTTTAACTTAATTGTTTTTAAAACTAAAATTGATATTAACAAGTATCTATTTTTTTTAATTTAATGAATGTTTTTTTATTTAAAATTGTATTATTTTTATTTATTCGAAAACTGTCCTTTCACTATCATAAAAATATTTTCATTCTTATATGTGAAAATGATGCACGAATGAATAACGAATAATTCTTTTCAAAGTTATTTAATCAATATAAACTATTATTTTTTAGTTCTACTAATTAAAATTAAAGTAATTTTGTTTACTATCTATAAAATTGAACAGCAAATAATTTCAGTCAAATACTATTCTAAATTACACTAATGGACCGATTCTGCGCATAACAGAGAAATGTTACGGCATAGCTATGTTACGCTCCGACCTCCATACATTATGCGAATGAATCATACTGAATGCTGTCAAAATATCATGTATTTGCTGTTCATTCCGGCGTTTTATGCATAAACTGCAACGTCACTCGTATGTTACCTAAGAGGAATCAAAAACACACACTTATCTAACATCGTTTTTTTGACATTTGTGCGGCTTTTAGGTTATGTTTTGCATGAAAAAACCTGAGAAATTCGCCTGACTGAACACCAACCGCATAACTTTTGTCTATATTACTATAGAAAATTCTTCATAACATGACCTTATCATAACATTGCGGCAGAATCGGTCCCTAAATTTGCGGATAAATTACAGAATATTCGAGCAAAAATTTATTTTCTATATAAAATTCGAAAACCGGTTAAAACCGGCTTTTTAGTAAAATTAAAATTCGAAAACCGGTTTTCTGAAATGTCGGTTTTTGTATAAACCCTATTCAATCGTTTTGATTTATCAATAATTGATTGACAATATCAAATAAAAGATGTCTAAAAATTTTGTTTTGTTATATATAATTTATATATATTATACATAAATAAATAATTAATGCTATTAATAATATAATTATTCTCTGCATTATTTTCTCTCGAGACACTAATCTTCTAATTAAAATCCCAATCACGTAATTTCGTGCTATTAATAAACAAACAAAACCCTTCGTTCGTTCGATACAATTTCACTTGAAAATCTTTCAAATGCTTGATAGAAAAGTTGATGATAAACTCAGAGAATCTTTTCAAACAAGCCTGCTCGTGGAGGATTAATTTTTAACTTTAAAACATTCATTAGTGAAGATCAATTAAAAGATTTCACTATGATTTGTTTACTCCCACGGGCAACGCTGGCGGTGGAGATAAAAAAGTTATTTGACATTGCTGAAAAGTTTATTAATTAACGAATCAAGTCATAACTTGTGGTTGAAGATTTAATAAATATATCAGAATAATTATTTCTTTCGACATTTTTATTATATATTGATAGATGCAAATGCAATTTCGATGTATAACATTTCAATGTTCAACCCCCATTAATCTAATTGTGTCATTTTATAAAATAATTAATAATTGCTGAGACATACCTATGATAGTCGCACTTTTTTTGGCTCATCTACTAAAGATATATAAAATTCGCACAAAAAATTACAAAAATTGTAATCAAATTTCATAATAATTTGAATTCTATTTCTGGCTCCAATTCATTTGGCGTTTTCCTTATTTCCTTTACCATTGGAAATTCATTAATTTCAAACACGCGTAATTTCCCTTTCTTCTCCAAACAACAGTGGATTATAATTTCTGATGTTCGTAATGTACGATCCATTTGTTTTGATTGACAGTCGCTTGTGTAAGACGTTTGCCTTATAACTTTGACAAGTCGCTGAAGGGTTTCCTCGTTCGCACAATTTATACGGAGTAATTTTCAGTGGTTTGTTTTGTAACTAGCTCTCCGGCTCCGAGTACGTATATAAGACATATCAAAATCATGCATGAGTTTTCGGAAAAGCAATCGAGGAGAATTAACGAAAAATTAGAAATAAATATAGCATTCGCAAATATTACACTAACAATATTTTTTGTTGTTAATTAAAACAATTTGCTATTCAAATTAGGTTTTCTGAGCTTTTGTATTTTATTTATATAACAACCCTTGATAATTTTTTTTGTAATATTTTTGCTGTTTCACAAGCTCTAGAAAATCTTAATTAAAATTCTGCGAAAATCATTCGTAGACTGCAAGAAGGATGAAAAATTATTCGATTACTAAAATTACTTTTACAAAGTTTGTGGTAATAGGATAAAAATTTAGGATTGTAAATGTTTTTTAAACACAAATTATTGAAAAAGATGATACGAATTAAAATAAAAAATAGAATAAGAAATTTTAGAAGCCAACCCTTATTACTTAAGAGCATGAAAAATAGATGTTGGCTTTGATAAATGTAAACATAAAAAAAGTGAACAGTTTTATACAAATTTGAATAAAATTAATACAGTCGTGGGTGAATCTGGCCCATATTATAAATATTAGTCCAATTTTACCGGAAGCTCGATGTGAGTTGAACAATATTCGTTTTGCCAATTTTGGGTTCCAATTCGTTTCTTCTGAGAATGTATCTTGTGGACAACATAATTCTGCTATAGCTAGATATAACTTTGACGATACATATCCAGTGCATTGTACAAATAATTCACAATTTCAACTTGAATATAAGGTAATTTGTAGAAAATAAAATCTTACCAATTTTTTAATCTAATTTCATTAATCATGTTCAAATGCTTCTGGCATAACTTGTTTAATAGTTACATATTGGTAAACATAATATTCTATAAACGATGAAACTCAAATAAGTTCAGACAATTACAAAAGCCGCTTCTAGAATTATCTAAACTCAAGATAAAGAGAGAAATTATATTAAAATATGTCAATTTTCAAAATATTTGACAAAGGTCTTTTACTTGTCTATAGAAAATCTGAAAATTTGTTGTCCACTTAGATGTAAAAATTACTAAATGATAAAAATATCTGTTCACATATACACACATATATCGTACACGCACATACACATACTTTTTCCAAATTTGATCTCATTCGATTCAGAATGGCTTGAAACGTCAAAAACCATAAAATTAGCGAATCGTGTTGTTTGATAAAGTTAAGTTAAAAATATTTACAGCAGGTATAATCCTATAAACCTAGGTTTGTGTGAGATTTTGCTGAAGCCTTAAACAATGCAATTGAAATTTTACGAAATGCATATAACATGCCCTAACGAAATAATTAGATATTTGCACAAATGTTATTTTTGTAATATTCTTTTTTTTGCATTTATTCTAACTATGATACTATCACACCTGAATGCCCAATCAATGAATTCGTCATTTGATTTAGACATTTTTAAATACCTACGACCAACAATTGCCGATGTTCAGGATAAAATTGTTGCAAACATATACAGTAGAAACTCGTTTTTAAATAAACGTATAAACGAAAAGTTCGTTTATTCGGACCACAGTTATACGTATTTGCGATTATCCGGAGTACCAACCGCGATCAATTTATATGACCAAATCGTGATATAGCAGCAATGAATAGAAAAAATTGCTTCAAATATTTCGAACCAAATTATACTTATTGCCTACTTATTTCACGGTTACCAAATGCAAATTACTAAATATATATTGTAAACAAATTATTCGTACATAAGTACCTAAATTTTATTCCATAATTAATGCTCCAGTTGTACTATGTATGTAATGTAATCTAATCATTAAAAAATATTTATATTCATACATAAGTAATAAACATTGATTTTCGCTGATTTCGATGTATTTGTTGTTTTCAATAAACACATAACCTTATTCTTCGCACATTCGATCATCTATATTTTCGATTATGCGAATACCTATCGACAACAATTAGTCCAGTTAATCGAGTTTCGGCAGCACATAAAAAATTCTAACAATGAAAAAGCGTGATATAGTTATAAGATATGTATCATCAATTCTTATCATTGACTACATAAAATATCATCTTAATTCTATATCTATTTCTACGATTCGGCCAAAATCTTACCGTTGTGTGCCCGTAGCGCCTCGCTGTTCGCCTGCGCCGCAGACACGTTCTGGGCGGCGGATGTGGGAATGACGCCGCCGCCCGTGCGGATCGCTTCTTCGAGTTGCGCACGGCGTTTGGCTTCTTGGTCCAGACGCTCCTGCACGCGCAAGCGTAGGCGTCGCTCGCGTTTGAAACGGCGCTGGTAAACAGCTGAAATAAGGAATAAGACCCATTTAAAATCGATAGGTAATAATTAGAATGAATTGTGATGAGATGGATTATTTTAAAACGTAAATTGTGCTTCGAGATACAGCTGATATAAATTTTAGTAGATAATTTTTAGATCAATATGTTCAATACTGATACCATCATACACGGACATCCAATCACTGGATTGACATTCGCTCTGATATTTTAATATTACGAAAAATTTGCTGATGTGCCAATTTGAAGAAGACTAAAGTAAAGTAATATTGAAGACCTTTAGCACTACCAAATCTTTGCATATATGAACATTGGTGAATTCACTTATTAGAGTGATTATCCAACTATCGACAAAATATTTATCACAATAATTTATATGTGTGTGTATGTGTGTAAATAAATGATATATAAGCCAAATAGCTCATAGAATTTACTGTATTCTAATTGTCATTACAAAAAAATGAATGAATGAGAATATTTTTTCACTTTAAACATTTAAACTATTTAGAACTTTAAACATAGTGACATATCTTGGTCTCTATTTAGACAGCAGACTTACTTGGAAAAGCCATATAAAAACAAAAAAGCAGCAAATAATGATCAAAATGAAAGAATTTAATTGGCTACTGCGTAAAAGGTCTAAGCTCTCTGTTGAAAATAAGTTGCTGCTATATAAATCAATCATTAAACCAATCTGGACCTACGGAATTGAGCTCTGGGGATGTCCTTACAAATCGAATATAGCTATAATCCAGAGAACTCAGTCAAAAATTTTACGTACAATACTTAATTCTCCGTGGTACGTTACAAATGAAACCATTCACAGCGATCTCAACATGAAAACGGTGCAAATAACATTCAAATAATTTAAGGAAAAATACAAACGTAAACTGGAATCACATTCAAACCCATCAATAGGCGACATTATCCAAACATTTGGCGTAAGAAGATTAAAACGTCAATGGCCTTTACATTTAGTCTTAGATTAGCTTCAATATATCATTATCTTTTAAATGGTTAAACTAAGAAGATCTCATTGGAGTTATTCTTATTGTTAGACATCGCTCTCAATTATTGTCAATTTAGCTTATAGGAATTCTTATGTATTTCTGATTGCTGAATAAAACAGAGTTAAAAAAAACTTTAGACATTTAAGGCAATAATATGTTTGAATTTTTAGTGAAAGAAATTACAGAGACAGAGTAATATTATTATTGAAAACATCTCAATGTCTGTGGCCAATAGGTACTCTTTGAAGTATCTTTCGGACTATTATGAAAATTTAATTATTATGAATGAATCCTTTTCCTTCAGAACGAAATATCCCCTAGCGAAAGATTTCCCGAATGAAGTGCATATCAAATATCCAGTTGGTATTCGAGTACCTATTCTATATCTCCTGAGTCACCACTCTTCATTCTTCATTTGTCAATAATTTCAAGTCTGTTAGAGTTTCGGATCACATTTCATGTTCTCTACTTCATTTGCCATGTACTATTGTCTTGCCAAACAATAGAAAAATTGTCTGGTCTTTTACCATGCGAAAGAAATATTTAATAAAACGTTGTGGTCTGTATGTTTGCCGATCGCAAAATAAGCGGATATTGCATGCAAATCAACGGTTAGATATTTGAACAAAATGGATAATAATGATACAAGATATTGAATAAGAAAAAATAGAATGGCTTTTTGTGGATTATATAAGAATAATCACGTATTCGTACTTTCTACAAAAACAATTTTATCACAAGATTTTATTAAGTCGCTGCACACTGTGTTTTTTGCTAAAAATTACATCTATCCTATTCGTTTAGCACAGCATATGAATTACAACGATCCATATTGTTCCATAGACCTAAATTGGTTCAACGCACTACAAATTATATATTTCATCCTCTTCTGCGGTTTTATAAATATAAAAGTGGTGTCTTCAAACGTTGTTTTATTGCCAAGTTCGTAATCGTTTTTCAAAATTTTATCCCGAGACGCGTTTGCCGAATTCGTGCAAAACCTTGCATTAAATGTCATGCAAAATATATTTTGCGGGCAATTGTAAGAAACTGCTTTAGAATTTTATACGTTTTCATGTTTATTAATAATTTAAGTCCGACAATACAAAATTGCAAGGGATGTCCTTAGGCACCTTTTGATAATTTCATATACATTAATAAACCAGGGAATTGGATACAATGTTCAGCACGCGAAAGCCTGGTGATAATTTTGGGAAAAATGTCGTGTTTTTGAAATGCTCTGAATAATAACTTATGTATCATGTAATTTATACATTTTTGGCCTTATGATTTAAATAATAGATTTTTTAATAAAACTTTTACTGGTTATAGCAACAAAGTATTCCAATTACACATTTTCAAGATTGAGATTAATTTTATGTTTTATCTGCTGAATTAGTCAGTGGCTGAGATATTGCAAAGTAATATCAAAACATGTCTGATACGTGCTTTATACGTTTCAGCAAGCTAATTATAATATTTGTTACAAAGATTCAGTCCCCGAAGCTATACAGAATCTGCGCTTAACTGCAATTACGAATTCCAATAAGTTTTACCAACTTGGGAACATACACTTGTGGCTGTGTTTTTGCGGCGACAGGCAGTTTATATATTTAAAAAAAAATTATTCTTTTGTAATTTTGATATTTGAAAAAAAAAATTAAATTAACCAATCGTACGTTGACCGAAGATCGAACAATTGTCTTCACTAAATAAATGAAGAGTATTACTAAATTTTACTTTAGTTGTCAATTCAGGATACGTTACTTGTTCATGTACTTATACAAGATAGGAGGATTTATATTTTATTTACAAGCAAAAATAAGTATTCAAGGAAAGTTGAATAATTCAAATTGACATACAGTTTTTGAATAGCATTATTTATGACTTTTAGCAACAGTATTGTCTTAAAAGAAAACATTTTTCTGAATTTATACATTATAATAAAATTCATATACCTATCATTATTAGTCTTTTTACGAAATGTATATGACACCTAATTTCTGACAAAATGCTTCTTTGATAATCAAACCAAAATTTACTACTGATAAGTGTAACAGAAAAAAGAAAGGGAATTCATTGACTTTGTGGTGCTCAAACAACATGGATCTGCCTTCAGACAGAATACTATTTATTATTACTAGAAGGTCTGCTAACACCAACAAAGTATTGAATCACATTTTTAGTTTGGCTCGCCCGTAGGTAAGCGGTTAAGAGCGACGGGACTTGAGAGGTCCCGGGTTCGATACCCACTTTGAGCAGCCTGTTGTCAGGCAGCAGTGACAACGATTTTCACTTGGAAATATAGATAGCAATTTCAAGTGAAAATAGACCTTGCCCAGCATTGCTGCACCAATAAAAAGTCAGCCCTATTAGATTAATCCTAATAACAAAATCAACTAATATGTAACCATCTAAAATGGTAACCATCTAAAAAATAGGAAGTAAGGAGAAGTTTCAACCCAACAGCTCACAGGACGTAAGGTTCTGATTGCTGTTAAAAAAAAAAAAAAATAGTTTGGCAGTGATATTATATTTATTTTCAGTAGCAAGATCAAATTTATTTGAATATATTGAGAATTTTCCAGAAATTATTAAATTTGAAGAAGTTTTACGAAATCTGAAGAAGTATCAGTGAACCCACGTATCTAAAATTTTGAAATATTTTCTGTTCTATTTTACAATTTAAGTTATTCTTAAGTCCTTTACCATCGTGTAGTCGTACATTGTCTGAAGATCAAAAAGGTGCCCTTTCCTTCACTCGTCATACGTATAGGTTTCTCGATGACCAATGGCAGCTCGTATTATTATTCGTGCAATGGGTCTGCATTCTGAATTATGCAAAAATAATGCACGGTTGTACCGTCGGGAGTACAGTCCTAATGCATCCATATAGCAAAACTACTAACAAAACACGGCATGCACTCGGCCGCGTGTAACAAAGGCATCGAGTCGAAGAGAGAAGGAAACATCGCGGACGGTTATTATTTTTTTCTCGTGTTTCATTGTTTTTAGTTCATTTTTTACCATCGCCTTGTGTCGTGCGATGTTTGTTTTGCCCTCTCGCTCGAAGTCGCCTGTCAAGATGGCGCATTTTGCCGGAATGGTTGTCGAGACAGAACTTGTCGACTTTTTGATGATGTTAGATAATTCCCTGGCACTGGTCTGTCTCGTATCGACGCTTCTGAGGACGATGATATCGCCGAGATATCGGGACGGGCCGCGCTCATTCGACGGAGCTACCGTCATGCATCTGTTCGCCGATGCAAATGTCGGCTGCGATTTGCGATGTCGATTTCTTAGACCTTGTTGATCTCTAGATCGCGATTCGATAATACGGTTATTATTTCTAGCTGCTTAGCGGGATAATAGATGCATAAAACGGTTTCAAAAACATGCTGGAATATTGCGTTTTTAGAGAGAACGTGAGAGCATACCTTTACTACAACAAAATTATTAATATTCAATTATATAATGAATTCATGAATTTATGAGGTAAAATAAAAACCAATGAACTTTAGCTGATCAACGTTAAAAGTGCTTCAGATTTTATGGTACATGTTTAAAAATTTATATATTAATCCTTTAGCTACAAATTTCGTCCATGGACATAATCCACCAAAAGTGCTGAGTATACGGATGTCATTCAGGGACGACATGTTTTGTTTGCCTTTCCTACAAGATTCTAAAAGTTAAACTATTAAGAATTCTAGTTTTTTATTATAATTTCTAGTATATTAGAAGCATAATTTTTAATTTCTTAACACAGTTTCGTTGACAATCATAAAAATATATAATTAGAAAATTACCGTACGGTTGCCTTCTAATACACCAGTATGAAAATAAAAACTTAATTTTCAGATAATTGTTCCGATTGCTGTGATATAATAACAACAACAAAAAAAAACTATATAAAATTTGAAATATGTGGAGGTACTCTGTACTTTATATTTTTTCATCCCAACATATATAAACGTTGGAATTGCGTATTGGGAA